TGGTTTAATACTCATTTAATACGAGACGCGAATTTCAAATAAATTACAAAAATGCCACCGGCTGTACGGTGAGCACCGTACAACCGGTGGTACCATATACGCTTCCCCATAAATAGCCTAATATTTCTCTTCCCACTTTTTCTCTTCCCTCCCCACTTTTCCTCTCGCCCTCTTTTCTTTTCGAGAAAAGTGTCGATTGAGTACATGAAGTTGCAGTGGGTGGAGTAAAGAGTACCACTTCTTACAAGTGAGACCAGGAAGTACACAAAATAGGTATTTGGGTGTTAAATTAGTCCATTAACCGTATTAAGACGTTAACTGTCTGACCTGGCTGACGGAATACTGATATGTGGAAATTTACTCCACATCACCCGTAAACTGCTCGCTGAGTAGGCGTTTGAAACCCTAACCTTCGTACGAAGACTCAAAAGACAAAAAATGAAGTTCTAAGCCTAAAGAGAGAAAGAGTAACTAAGGCGTTGAAGTGGTAACTCTGTAGATGGAGAATGAAAAAGCAGATGAAAGGTATGATATCACTGACATTACTCTGCTATACATCATCGATGCATCCCTACAAGCATTAATATCTTTGAAATTTATGTACCCATACATAATGCGGAAGTAATGGCTGAAGTTAGGTGAAACACACCCACCAACCATGTTGGATAAACTGAGAACGAAGGACAGCTATAAAGTACTCCACTTTTTTGTTTTTGGTACATTGTCATATCTTGAGTGTTTTATCATTTACTTCATAGGCCCAAAAATTACAGTTTGGTGCAAGTGGTTAGTGGTGCACCAAAAATTACACTTGAGTGTTTTATCATTTACTTATTTCTCTTAATTACAACCATATATTTATTTTGAATATTGGTTAATTGGGCACACAATTTGTTTTCAAATAGTCAAGGACATGAGGATCCTACTGCTAAAGCCCAGACTGAGAGTGGTGCCAGTGTGCCCTTCATTGTTGATTTGGGATTTGAAGATCCACTTCTTGAGGCAGAAGCTGGGCTGTTGTTTGTAGATGAAGTAAACTCTGAAAATGAAGATGATGACGAATTACAACATGGTAGGGTGCTGCTAAGGAAGTTAGTGACCAATCAAAAGTGTGTTGTTAGAGGTAAAGGGCAGCAATCTACTAACAACAACAACAACATACATGAAGAAGATTTAGTTGTGGAGGAAGATGGGAATGAAACTGAGTATTTCACCTCAAGTGATGAAGGTAGTTATGAGTGTGGATCACAATCTGAAGAAGAAGAGGCTGTTAGAAAGAAAAGCAAGTTTCCAAGTTTCAAATGTGATGACAAAGTTGAGTTCTCATTGGGAATAAGCTTTGAATCCAAATCTGAAGTGAAAGAGGCAGTTGATAAATATTCTATCACCAACAGGTATCCTTACTATTGGGCCAAAAACTGTCGTACCATGCTTAGGGCCAAGTGCTCCAATTTAAATAGAACGTGCACATGGATGGCTTACTTTGGGATAGATAATCGAAGTAGCAGTAAGAAATGGGTTTTAAAGACTTTGAATGAACGCCATACCTGCAACCCAGGGTGGCAAATACCAAGTGCAACAGCCAAATGGTTAGTTAATAATTTTTTCAAAACAAAACCTGGTGTTTCTGAGATGAAAATAGCCTCAATGAAAGAGATGGTGAAGAAAGAATTAAGCTGTGACGTGTCTCTTGAGCAAATGAAGAAAGCCAAGTCTATTCTCAGAAAGATGGAAAAGGGGGACATTAAGGCAGAGTACAGCAACTTAGAGGATTATAAGGCTGAAATAATGAGGTCCAATTCTGAAAATACTTGCATACTTCAGGTCATGCAGCCCACTCCAATTTTTGAAAGGTTTTATGTTTGCTTTGATGCTTGCAAGAAGGGCTTCTTAGAGGGGTGTAGGAGGCTAATTGGAATTGATGGAGCATTTCTAAAGTCTGAAGTAAAGGGTGAAATCCTCACAGCAGTAGCACGGGATGCAAACAATCAGATGTTTCCTCTAGCTTGGGCAGTTGTGGGTTCTGAGACCAAAGCTACATGGAAATGGTTTCTGGAGAACCTCAGAGATGATTTACACATAGGAACAGGAGAAGGATGGGCATTTGTTTCAGATCAACAGAAGGTTCTAAAGCTACTTTTAGTTCTAAACTTGGAATAATATAACAGATAGAAGTAAAATGATTTAATATGTATGCTTATCTGAAGTGCTTAAGTTGGTATATATAAACTGATCTACTTAAAAATTGAAGTCATACAATATATGTTGTAGTAGTTAAGTTGGTGTAATATAAACATATAAACTGAAGTCATATAATATATGCTCATATATACCTTTACTACTTAAGTAGCTGTAATACATTTTTTTGTTCTTAATTTGGTATAATATAACTGATATACTAAAGTGATTGAAAGTATATATGCACATTTGAAGCGCTTAAGTTGGTATATGTAAACTGATATACTAAACTCAAGTAGTTAAGTTGGTGCAATATAAACTTATAAACTGAAGTCATATAATATAACTGATTTACTAAACTGCAGTGCTTAAGTGGGTATATATGAACTGATAAACATCAACAGTGGCTAAATATTTTCAAATCTGTAGTGGTTATTGGGATTATATGAACTGATATACATGATATAAAATTAATATCTTTACTAAACTGGTATTAAACACTTTTACTACTGAAGTTGGTATACTAAAGTGATCTCTATGCAGGGATTGATGCCAGCATTGTATGAGACATTACCTGATGTTGAACACAGAAGATGTGCGAGACACATTTATGCTTTGTGGAGAAGATCACATCCGGGGATTGAGTTACAAAGGCAGTTTTGGAAATGTTGTAAATCTGCATCAAAGAGAGAGTTTGACATGAATCTAGAGGTACTGAGATCACTTTCTCCCAGTGGATATGAAGAGATATTGAAAATAGATCCAAAGTTTTGGTGTAGGGCTTTCTTTAATAGGTCTATCAAATGTGAAACTGTGGACAATAATTTGTGTGAAGCTTTTAATGGAGTGATAGTGCCTGCTAGGTCTCAATTAGGGTATTCTCAATTGGAATTTATAAGAAAGTTGGTAATGCAAAGGCTTATCAAGAATAGGGATTTAGGAGAGAAGTGGGTTGGTCAACTAGGTCCTAGAATTAGGAGAAGAATCAACAAAATAGTGACAGCAAGTAATTATTGGAGGGTACTCTTTAATGGTTCTGATGGCTATGAAGTTTCATGTGGATCTGATACCTATCTAGTAGACTTGGAGGGTAGGAGTTGTTTGTGTGAGCAGTGGGATGTATCTGGGATTCCTTGCAAACATGCAATTTGTGCCAGCTTTGTTTTGAAAACTAAAGAACTAGGCAGGCCAAGGAAAAACAGAATTAAAGAGATAGGTGAGTACCCTAGGAGTGGTAAGTTACCCAAGAGAGGCACAAGTATCACATGCCAGCTTTGTTTTGAAAAAGGCCATAACAAAAAGGGGTGTCCATCAAAGGAGGTAATTTTAAATGGGACAACATCATTTCCAGTTGATTTAGAAGGTAGTAGTTCAACACAAAGAAAGAGAGCGTGTGGACACTGCTCCCAAGAAGGACACACACAAAATAGGTGCCCTTTAAAGACCACTTCTGATCAGGTATATGTACTTTTAATAATAAAAGGAAATGCATTAATTGTTGTTTATGGCCATTAACTCCTTCATATATATATATATATATATATATATATATATATATATTTATATATATGACATGCAGGTAATCAACACTGAACGTGGTACTCCTAACCAGCCACCAAATGTTCCTGAGAGTAGATTGAAGTCATACTTCACTGAGAATCCAGAAGTGGAGACAAGTTGTGAAGGTGTATTTCAAAGTAGGGGAAACAACTCCATTAGTGCAACTGGTTTGGAGGTAAAATTTGTGAATTAATATTTTCAATGCTTATTAGATACTAACATGGTACCATTTTGTTGGTATAGAGACTAAAGGCTAGGAAAGGAAATGAGATCCAAGCCAGTGCAAGAAAATCCAGAAAAAGGCTCAATGTGCAAATCGAAGTTACTGGTGATGCTTCAGCTGCAAGACAGAGATTTCATGAACTATACGACTCCATGGAAGCTCCTATTGAAGAGTAGTTTAGTTTTGCATTGTACCGACCTGGCAGAATGTTCTTCTGTTATGGAATTGTAATTATGAAGGTTGTTTTGATCAAGAATTGTGATGATGTTGTACAAGGCTTTTTGTCTAGGATAAACTGTGATCTTGTACAAGTCTGTTTTTGGTTATGGATTTAGGATGATGTTGTACAAGGCTTTTTGTAGGCCTGATAAATTGTGACCTAGTACAACTCAGTACAAGGGTGTTTTGGTTATGGAATTATGATCACTCTTATCCTTTCATCTATAAACCTACTGGTATCATCATTAATTAGTTAGAAGTATTATCTTTGCATCTGTCAAAAATTGCAGAAGAGTATCATGCTAGGAAATAGTTTGGAAGTATTCAGTATTACTTCAGTTCAATATTACTTCAATTTCGTATTACTTCAGTTTAGTATTGTTCTTGGAACTAGTTTCAACATGTTTTTTTGTTTATGTAGTATACTTGTAAATGATTTTAACATGTCATTTAGTTCATATTTTATGCATGGAACTGATATAAACCTGTCAATTTTAACCTGTCTTTTGATTTAACATGTCATCATCTATATAACAACCAAGTGATCGTCAGTTCTATATTTTAACCAACTGGCTTTATGTCCTGAACTTTTCTGAATTTAATCAAGTAATTTATCTGGTGCATTAACAAGAAACATACATCAGTAAGAAACATGTATTCAAACCAGTTTCTACATAATAAAAATATGAAATGATTATCAATAAACATCACCATACACCATACTCAACAAGAATCAGTAAGATACCAATACAACAACACTCATTCAACTTCACATACTAATAGTCTAATGGCATTACAACATAAAACCACACACAGAAGGATATATCCTACATTGAACTACACATTTAGATCATTAGAGCCTCGCAATAGTCCCAACCTAACTTATTTTTGCTTCCAATGTCAAAACAAACAATCCATGAACCTAGTAGCATCATTCCTCCCACAACACACCATAAGACAGTCCATTTCTTCTTCTTCTTTGGCATTGCATTTTTCTCCTCAAGTTCAACTTGTAGCTTGTTTATTTTCCTCAGCAGACCTGGGATAATCATCTTCGACCGTGGACACATTTCTGGATCAATCCATTCAAACATTTTACATCCTCCCTTTCCCTATCAATAACAAAAACATAAATAACAATATTATTACAAAAAAATCACAACATATGACTGTTTACATCAAGTTGTCTACATATGGCTCAAGTGCAATATATATGTGTACATATATTCATTCAAACTACTGAAAACGTAAAATCAGCCCGATTGACACAAATTAAATTAAATAGGTAAAATCAAGCTTCAAGGTCATACCTTTAATGTTGAGCAAGTAATGAACCGTCTTCCAGGATTGTCATCAGTCCATGATGTCAGCATCTTCAAAGGGATTCCACATGCACAATTTCCATGAGCCATGTCCGTAGCTCTCACAACAAAAATCTGAAAAAACAAACCCAAAAATTAACAGAAAGGAGCAGGAACTGGAAAGTAAATTCAGCCCATAAGATAAACAATGAACAACAATCTAGGATTCATCAAAAGATTTTATCACCCTTCGAACAGAAGACAAAGAAGAAACGAAGAGCTAGATGAAGATTGGGATGAAATACGCAGACATTATTTATAAATTAGGGTTACTGGTTACATATATAAGAGGATTGGGAAGTTGCTGAGTTGGAGTCCAGCTTTTAAAAAACAAACGACTGTAACAGCCACATCAGCAATTTTTAACGTCAAATGAAGGAATGGACTGATTTAACACCCAAATACCTATTTTGTGTACTTCCTGGTCTCACTTGTAAGAAGTGGTACTCTTTATTCCACGAGCTGCAACTTAATGTACTCAATCGACATTTTTCTCTTTTCTTTTCCCATAGCCCCCTTCTCCGTTCCCCTCTTTTCTCCATTTCAAGAGCTCTCTATTCCAAGAATTTTCAATCTTCATAGAACCCTAGTTTTCTGCGGCCATTTTTGCCTGCACCCTAGTTGACTCACCCTTGTTTTGTGCCCCTTTTCTATCTCTCACCTTCCTAGAACCCTACTTCGCCCAAATCCCCAACCCCCCACCTCTGTATTCTCTATAGCAGCTTGAAGACAACTCCAACATGAACAACACTGTTGCGGCTCGAATTGAAGCACACAACAACAATAAAGATAGTCAACTTCGAATTTCAATTGGCATAAAAATCAGGAACAACCATTATTTATGAGGTAGTAATTTATATTTTTGTGCATTTACAATTACTTTTTTTTTGTTTTACCAATTTTATGTATAATACGGAGTATATGTTATAATGTTGAATACTTCATTATATTGTGATATTGTTAAAGATTTGTAAGATTTATTATTATAATTTTAGTTCAATGATTCTATTTCACTTTTATGCTTATAAGCTCTTTTGTTGAAATGATTCAATGATTTTTTATTCATATCCATGAATTTTCGGTTCATTCTCCTAATTTGTTAATTTGTTTGTTTTGTTTCGCTATTATGAATTTTATGTGTTATTATTGAGATATTAGTCCTTGAATTTTCTAAGTTTGGAACTCTCTTCTTTTATTTTGAAGCTTCTTGGAATAATAATTATTCTATACGTGTACTTCTAAGTTTGTCAACCATTGAAATGCAGGAGATGAATTTTACAAACTATTTAACTTTGAAACTGCAACCTGCTTTGTTGATGTGCGGATGTCCCAACTGTTAAGTTTTTGTTTTATTTCACAAGCATCTAAGCTCATAACTCATATAGTGAGGATTCTTTTCTGATTTTGTGGCAGCTCAAGTCACTCCTACAATAAATGATCTAATATTGCCGCTGGATGGGGAGTCTAAGAAATTGTGAACAAGCCTCAAGAAGATCAAAGGAGTACTGAAATGACTTTCAAGTGCTTTTGTACCATCTTTTGTAGTTTAATAGGTGCTTGTTATACAAATATACCTAGCTATTTAGTTGTATTTGAAACTTTTTTGAACAAGTCACTCAACAATTGACTTTGTAATTGATCAAACTTCACTCCCTATTCGAGTTGTTTTGGTGTCTTCAACAATATTGTCTGTTAGGCAGAAAGCTTTTGCCAAGCCTAGATACATTAACGAAATGTCTGGCACAGACAAATAATGTCTGTTAGACAAAACTTTTTTTCAAATCTAGACATGAATTGTCTGTGACAGACAAATATGGTCAGTTAGTCAACACTCTTGTGTCAGGTCCAGACATGAAATGTCTGGAACAGACAAATATTGTCTGTTGGGTAGAATTCTACTTAGCATATTAACCTATTTCAATGACTATTGTCTGTGGACAGACATTTCATATTTTGTTTACAGATAATTCTACTTAGCATATTAGCCTGTTCCAATAGAAAAACCTACTAATCCAAGATAGATAAAAAAAAACGCAAAAACTACACATTAAAGTGTTTGTGCCACATTAATAACTAAACAATTAAAGTATACTCTATTTAGTGAAGTGTTTGTACGACATTGATAAAACATAAAACAATAAACTGCATGTGGAGTTTGAGCCTCTTAATGAAGCAGAATAAATGGTATGAATGTGAGATACCATGTGCACTCTGAATGCTTTTGGTATAATTGTTGCTTTTGATCCAAATAGTCCCTTTAAATCCCCATCACATTTATTCACATGGGGTAAAAAAGTTAGTATATGCTTCTCTTCTTCAATCTATGGACTGAAAAATTGAGCATGAATATTGATCATACTCGTATCATATACAAATACTTTTTGTTCAGACTTCAGAGTAATCATGTGAAATGCACTTCAAGTTTTATTAGCATTTCAGGGATTGCTAAGGATGAATCATCTCACATCGAAATAACGAACTTAAAGATACAAACCAACATATTTTCAAGCCAACGTTTTAGTTTAGAATAAGATATGAATCATTCTGTTAACATGCTAAGAACTCATGATTCTGGTCAGTAAATGACATAAACAGAGTTACATCATTCTGTTTTCATAGTTATATCCAATGTAAAAGAAGAAAATAAATTGTTAGCTCCATTATCAGTAACTCTTTTTTAGAGGCTACATTATATAGCTTTTCAGTGTCGTTGAAAACACTATTCTACATGTCAGCATTGTCATCTGGAGAAGCTAAATCATCCATAGCAGCTGACTACTTTCGTCTACTTCTTGGTGTTCCCACGGTTTTGTCTGCTTCTTTTGAGGTCAGATTACGAATATCTTCTGCCAACCCATGGTTTCCTGCATTTTGGACCATAAATCTATTGAAGTGAGACCCAACTCCACGGCTAACTCGAGACACTGCTTTGCATACTCTCCTGTCACAATATTCCTCCAGAAGGAAGAGGTGATATAGCAAGAACAAAGCCCATCTAGTGTTATATCCACCATATCCACAATTCAAGAAATGCATTTAAGCTTCTGACATATCTATAAGACTATAACCACTATCAAATCTTATGCCCAATAACTAATTATTTCCTTGGCCTTATACTTTATTGAACATCATGGTATCCGAGTACTACTAATACTCATATACCAAACAGAAAAGGGACAATGTCCTAGTTAATATAACTTGAAACATAGTTTTGTTTGTTTTTCCTTAGAAAATAGTTGAAATAAGGAGACATCACATTCTTTAAGTTTTTCCTTACACATTCTAATATGAAATAAACAAAAAAGAGTTTTGCTAGAGGTACACAAAATGTTTACACATTTTGTGTACACATGTCTGTCCTTCATAGACAAATTGTCTGTCACAGACAACTTATAAGACATAAGTTGTTTATGACAGACAATTTGTGGACAGACAATTTGCCTGTGAAGGACAGACATGTGTACACATTTTGTGTACCTCAAGCATTTTTCAACAAAAAATTCATCAAATATAATATGATATAAATAAAAAATTCATTGAATCATTTCAACTAATATGTTATGGGCATATTGATGACATAGAATAGTTGGACTACATTTTCAATAATAAACATCACAATCTTCACAATAACACAAAGGGTATGTTTGGCAAATGGCTTATCAGCCAGCTTTTAGCTTGTTTGACCCATTTCAGCTTTTTGATTGGTCAAAGAAGCTAATAATTATGTTTGGTAAATGGCTTTTAAAATTAGCTTGTTGAGTTTGAAGAAGCTTGTTGAGTTTGAAACAGCTGACACAACCAGCTAACAACAACAGCTAACAGCCATTTGCCAAACATACCCAAAATAATTAACCATTCAACATTAAAAGATATACAGAGTATTATTCATGAAATAAAAAATAAACAACAAAAAAAATGAAGAAAATAGAAAGAATGGAGAAAGAGGCATACCGGAAGGAAAATGGTGTGGAAGAGGCATACTGTAGCTCAACTCCATGGAAGAGGCTTGCAAATGGTGTGTCAGATCTCCGTTCGAGCACTGTAGCTCCCACCTTTGAAACGAGAAAAAAGAAGAAGGAAGATGTTAGAGTTTTGGGATTGAGAACGGGAATAGCTGAAGACAGAAGGGAGAAGGAGGAAAAAGGGTTGGGCGCAGAAAAGGAAGAAAGAAATAAGAGAGAAAAAAGAGGCGAGAAGAGGAAGATGAATTAGGCACAGAGAAATATGAGAGAGATGAGTTAGGCGGAGAGAAAAGGAGAAAAGAAGGAAAGAGGGGAGAGAAGGGTTACTGGGTTAGGCGCAGGAAAGGAAAAGGGAGAAAAATTTGGCTATTTATTTAGAAAAATGGTAAAGGTACCCCAATTCATACCCCAATTTGTACTCTCACCCTGTTTTTGTGGCTCACAAAAGCACTTTATTAAAGTGGGGCAATTCATTTATTGAGGTGGGCTTTTGTGAGCCACAAAAATAAGTTGGAGTACAAATTGGGGGTACCAATTGGGGTACCTATAGCAGGGTTGATTTATTTAGTGTGCCAATGGTGTACACAAAATGTGTACACCTGGCATTTCTCTTCAACACATTTCTCTTCAAGATCAACCAAGATAAGCTTCAAAAGGCAGGCTTTAGCCAGGAAAGTGTTGTAAAAAAACGTTTTTGTTAAACCCTCTTAATGGCTACACACTTCGCCGCCCGGCGAAGCCGGCCGTTCGGCTCTGTCTCCCGGTTGTCTCGAAGCTTCCGATCAAATGCTGCTCTTGAAGCCTTAGCCAAAGCGTCGGAAGCTAAAACTCCGAATCTCATTCTCTACAACTACCCCTCATTCTCTGGAGCTTTCGCTGCTCTCTTCTCTCACTTCTTCCACGATCGCCTTAACCTTCCTCACCTCGTCTTACCGTTCTCTTCCGTCGAACCTCTGAGGTGATTCTTCATTCTACACCTTAGCTTAAAGTTCAATTGCAATTTGTGTAATGCTGGAAGCATTGAAATCCTTTTGGTTTGTTAAAGGTTTTAACTTTTTAATTAGACTGGTCTGGCATATTGTGTTTGTGATAGAGCTGAAGATTTGTGTATTGAGGGCCTTGAGAAATGTTACTTTCTCGATTTCATAGGCCCTAAAGGGCTTGCTTTGGAGCTTTCCAGACGAACCTCATGCCAGTAAGTGAAATACACTCTTTCTTATCCCTTTCTGCACTAGGTATATGGAAAAACTGCAATGTCTTAATATAAATTATCACTGTGATGAAATTAGGGTCTTAGCTTTTGATCACCGAAAAAGGGTGCTTTCCGGTGTCCCTTCGAAGGAGGAATGTGGCGGGAATCTCATATTTAATGTCAATCTAGAGAAGAGCAGCGCTTGTGCTGCGTATGATTATTTCTCTTCTGAACTTCGAGATATCGGCTCTAGTGATGTGGGTTAGGTGCTATCAGCATTTCTTTGTTCAGTTGTACTAGAAGTACTTAGTCTGGCATTGCTTCAGGTTTATATTCGTTGCGTTTTACCTCCTATGGTAGGAAGGCTCCATTTGCCTGCTAAACCCTGAAGTCCAAGATGAAATGGAAAAGCTCTTGAAATACATTGAGGATGGAGATCTTCGTAATTGGGCCTTGCCAGATATTAGAGCATTCAATTTAGGACTCAGCGAATGGCGTTCAAAATTGAATTGTATCACCAACCCACACATGTATGAACAGGTTCATAGTTGATATTGTTGATGTTCACTTATTATTATAACATTATAAAGAAAATTCCTTAGATAGAACTAAAACATAAACAAAGTGCACAAATATGACCACCAATGGTTTTCCTTTTCTTTCTAAAATAGGACTCATTCACTCCTAATTGGGGAAGTTTTATACTTTTAATAGGACCAAATAAGTCCTATTTTGGGAATAAAACACAGTTAGTTTTATTTGTGTACATTATCTATGTTTTAGTCCTATTTGGAACACTTTCTTAAAGTTATATTGTGGTACAAATATTAAGGTAGAGCCAAAAATAATGTGAACCAATTGCATTTTCAATTTCAACAGCTAATGGAGATGAGAGTTGAGGATTTAATTGGTAAAGGCAACTCTTATATATCTAGTAGGCAGAGCGCTGCAAATAAGTTGCTGGACAAGGTTTTCGAAATTCAGTTGGGCAGGGGACTATACGGCTCATGTTTGGTAATATGATTATCAAATGTTTCTTTTTTCTTTTTCCCTGTAGAAAAGAAGATTTTCATTCCTTTAGAACTCCAGGGCTTTGCATGGAACCCTGAAAATGGAAGTGGGTTGGAAAGAAGTGCAAAGGGAAATGCGTTATTATTTTCAAATGAAATCAGTGTCGCGGAATATCACATTTAAATGAACATTTACATCTGTACGTAGACAATAAATTGTTTTAGTCTTCATATGATAAAAAATATAAATAAAATGAGTGTGAACGAATATGCAGAGCTGGTGTATTGAGTTTGAACCATTTCTACACCCCGTCATTCCAAAGTTTCCTAATATTTCATCCTAATTAGTTTCACGAGAACTATCCAGGTTCCAAATGGATCCTAGCAGTCTATGCATCTAGCAAATATCCCTTATGGGGGAAATAAGTATTACCACCTCTACTAAAAAAGTTGTTTTTCGTCAAGTTACAACTTTTTAACTGGAGTAAGGTACAACATTGGGAAAACATCCATCCTACTTATAGTTTTATGTTTATTTGCTTGTTAAACTAGAATTAGGTCATTCCAGTGTTTGTGACACTTCGTTTTTAGAAAGTTACATGAAGTTTAATGCAAATAGCCTCTTTTTTGTTAAAATAAGACCCGTTTTGAGTCAAAAATAAATTTTGTTAAAAATAAGTGCCCTTTGTGATGTATACGGGCATTCACTGTTTTGGTTACTACACATGAGACAGATGTTGCATACATAATTGATTGCTGTTATTGTAAACTAGGGAGTTAGAGCTGATGGAAACTCAGATCTATGCGATGAAATTGGGAAAGGACTTAGTAGGAAGAGCGCTGCAGCTGGACTGAGGTATGCCTTGTCGATTTTACTATCTAATTTACGATTCACTGTTAGTTTATCTTACCTTCTCAATATCGTGTCGTCTTTAATTATCCTGAAGTTGTAGTACTAAGAGCTGAGTTTGGCATCGGCAATAAGTTATTTGTATTTAATTGCATCCCAGGCCAATAGGAGCTGTCATCTATATGCAAAGGAATAATCTGAAAATGTGTCTCAGAAGTACTGATATGAATACTGATACTTCTGAAGTTTCCAAGGTGTGCTTTTTATACTCCGTATCATGTTTTTAGTCATTTCTTCTGCTTTTATACCACTAGGCGCAAGGAAACTAACTCTCAACACATGTCTTTGAGCATTAAGGCATATGGTGGAGGTGGCTCTCCATGCTCAAGCTCCTTCATAATTAGGATGGATGAGTTAAATCATTGGCTTGCAGTGAACAAGAGGTTAGTTAACAAGGTTCATACCTTTTTACTGCCCATTTGCTTCTAAGTTCTAACCCTTTGCATTTGATAAAAATGTGTAGGTAGGGGGGAAGTAACAGAAATGAGAAGCGGGGTCTTTAATTACAAATGTAAATAGTGTATGTCAATGAAGTCTAGGTTGAAGGAGTCTTCCAAGTTCCAAGTCTTTTGTTGAAGACGACGTACTTGAAAAATCCATCCTTTCTGGCTATTCTCTCTATTCTTGTTTGTGGTTATCATTAGAATTTAGAAACACCCCTTGCATTATCCTAAGCCAGCAGCATGCGAGCATACACGTGTAGTGGCGGAGAAGATGTGTGATCTTTCATAGTTTTAATTCTTTGGAGTAAGAGAATATGAGATGATCCTTTAATGGCATAAAAGCATTTACAAGAACTGAATGCTTATACTTTGGAATCCGATGTATAGGCATTCAGTTATGATCACACTCTCTTATCTCACTTCTCACTATCCTCTCCCTTTCAATAATTTAACTTGGGATACTTTTTGGCAAACTACTAAAGAATGTAATATCTTCTTGCTTCATTTTATTCCCGAATATGATATTTTCAATCACATTTGTTCTGTTTGCCAAGTACTGCATTCAATGGCATACCCAACCTTGTGCAAAAAGAACATCTCTTGATCTCCCTTGGCTTCGGATACAACATTATACTCCCTCCGTATCAATTTAATTGACCCATTTGCTTTTCACGCAGTTTAAGACAATTACAGTAGACTTTATTAAAAGTAAGAGGTTTTTGACACTGTAGCGGTACTGTAGCAGTACTGTAGCTGCTTTTTGAGTGGAATTCTTTCCAAAAAGGGAAATGGGTCAATTAATTTGATACCCCAAAAAAGGAAAGTGGGTCAAGTAATTTGATACGGAGGGAGTAGATTCTAGTACTCCGTCCCATAAAACTTGTCTACTTTCCTTTTTTGTCCGTCCCAAAAAAATTTGTCTCTTCCATTTAAAAGTAACATATACCGATATATGTGGCCAAAGTTTTTTCTCTTTCCTTTCCACACAAATCAACCAATAGTTTTTACTTTATTAATCTATGTGCAAGTCAATTTTGACCATGTTTTATGGGACGGAGGGAGTGTAAGTTCCTAATGTTTTATTATTATATTACAAAATAAAAAGCAACGCTGGGTGCAAAATAAGTGAAATAACTTCACTTGACATGTGCTTCTCAAAACAAGTACGGAGTGGACTGTTTTGTGATAGTTTTTTAAATAGAAATACTTGATTCTAATTTCTTCAGGTTAATTTGGGCTCTCAAGTAGGGATGGACTGGGCCGGGCCGAACCGGCCCGGAACCGGACCGGCCCGCTACTGTGCGGGCCCGAACCGGACCGGGCCCGGTTGGCCGGTTCCGGGCTTTTAGCCCGTTTTGGCGGGTCGGGCGGGCCGGTTCCGGGCCCTGTTTTTGTTGAACCGGCCCGGGCGGTTCGGGCCGGGCCCGGTTCATTTTTTTTTTTTTTTTTTTGGTTTTTTCAATTTTTTTTCTTTTCCTAGGGTAGGGCTGGGTGTTTTAGGGAGGTTTGGGGCGTGGGGGTGAGGGGGGGGGTAGGGAGATAACAAGAAAGTCAAAAAAAAAAAAAAAAAAAAAAAACATTGAACCGGGCCCGGCCCGGCCCGGCCCGGTTAGGCCCGGACCCGGTATCAACCCGGGCCGGTTCCGGGCCCATGTAACCCGAAAAAAAGCCCGCCCGGGCCCGGCCCGGAACCGGAACCGGCCCGGCCCGGGTCCATCCCTACTCTCAAGCAGTCACCCTAAACACTTGAAAGATGTAAATTCGAATTGCTCAAAAAAAATGGTAGATTCTCATTGCCATACATTACATATATGGATGATTTATATGTTGGAAATCGTCCATTTGATCCAATCCTACTTTAAAATTGTGGGATGCAACTATGCAAGCAATATTAGCACTACACTAATGGTGGCAAGAAATCATTAGATTCACAAATAGTATCTATAAAATAAATCTAAAGACATGTTTACTTGTTATGTTACTAAACGGTGCTTATTAAAACTTGCGTTAATAAGCGACACATAAAATAAACAGTATTATAAGCTCATGTTTACTTCACAGAATTTAAAACACTGTTTAATATTAAAATCAGGCATGGACCCGGGCCGGTTTGGGCCCGGTTCGGGCCTGGGCCAGGCCGGGCCTCGGTTCAGGAAAGGGGAAGCTCGGAACCGGCCCGGGTAACCCCCGGGTCCGGGCCGGGCCTCGGTTCAATTTTTTTTCGCCTTTTCCTAATTAACCCCTAACCACCCCCCCCTCACCCCCAAACCATCTCAAATGACCCAAAATACCTAGCCCAACCCAAAAACTTAAAAAAAAAATCAAAAAAAAAAAGAAAATAAATAAAATGGCCTGGACCGGGCCCGAACAGGCCGGGCCGGTTCACGTTTTGAGGGGCCCGAGGCCGGACCGGAACCCCAGCGGGTCGGGCCTACCCGAATTGGTCATTGACCGGGCCACCGGGCCACCGGGCCACCGGGCCGTAACAGTGTCGGTTCGGGTCGGTTCCGGGTCGGGCCACCCGGCCCGAGTCCAACCCTAATTAAAATGTCCAAAATAACTTTATACAATATAGACACAAAAACATTCACGTACACAAGTATATAATATAATATGTGGGGGCCACCTCGTACGCGTACCCATAATCCTAACCCCCTACCCCTTCCATACCCCTACTCCTACTACGACCCTACCCCTACCACGACCTTACCCCTACCACTCTCACCCTGATCCCTAGGTATGTAGGGTTAACAGGTAGATGCATGAGCCTATTGGTCAGGGTAGGGGGAAGGGTACCGGTACAATACAAGGGTAGGGGGTAAGGGTAGGTGTACCGGGTGGGGCAGGGTATGGGTGTCGGGGTAGGCCAGGGTTGAGGTTGGGGGTAACGGGGATGGGGTAGGGTCGGGTAAGAGGCACGAGTACCGGGGAGGACGGTTTAGGGGTGGGGTGGGGTAGGGTGGGGTACGCATACAAGTAGGGTAAGGGGTAGGGGTTTGGGCGAGGTGGGACAGGGTTGGGTCTGGGTTTAGGTAGGGTAGGGTAGGGGTGGGAGGTAGAGGTAAGGTTAGGGGTTAGGGGTAGGGGTAGGGGTTAAGGCAAGAGCAAGGGGAAGAAATGAGGGTAAATGTAAATTTAGAAATTGAAAAAGTCTAATTAATAAATGGAGGATGATATGCTTATTAAGTGACACTTTAAGCACTTATTTTGTTTAGTAAGCATCTTTGTAAGCGGTCTGCGTGTTTACTTTTACTTTCTTACTAATTTAACTGTGAAGTAAATAAGTTCTAAGTTTGTGTCTAGCGCTTGTGGTGAAGTGCATTGTTTAATGCATAATTGTTAGCTTTTCTATATGTAAAAAATTTGTACCCTGTATTAAACCGAAAAAGAACATAGATTATTATCCATTTGGTTTTGGGAGGGCATATAGATGCATAGAGATATATTTCAAATTTCAAAAGCATTCTCTTATTGGTTTGATTCACGTATATTGGTTCAAATTAGAATGATATTAGCGATTGAATCTACTACGGCTTTAAATTCTCGAAAATGCAAAATGAATCATATAAAATTATGCGCTTCTCCCAATAAATTACTTGAAACATTGAGATGAATCTCAGTGAACCAAAATATTATTTGCACGTGTGCTAGTCTGATAATAACAAGTTATCATATACTCCCTCCTCCTTTGAAACAACTTCTCACTTTCTTTATTTGGATGTCCCTAATTTAACTTCTCATTTCCTTAAATGGAAAGTTATCTAACATTAAAACAGTGTCAACACGCCAAACAGTGCCAAACAGTGTCGAAACAGTGTCAAAACAGTGAATTTTACCCCTTGATAAGGTTATTTCCTAAATATGTGTGCAGGTCAAATCGAGAAGTTGTTTTGGGGACGGATGGAATACTAAACACAATAATATAGAGAAATCTAGCACTATAGGATCATTGTTGCATATACTTCATTTATTGTACTGTTTAATTATAATTTTCATTGATTGGACCTTTTTTTATACATAAATGTCACAAATAAATGTCGTTTCTTTGAATTATTCCAGTCTCATAACATTTCTAAATTCAATTAAACTTGACCTCAGAAAAGTTTTAGGAATTGGGTTCTAGAAATGACAAAGCAGTATAAACTCAAGATTTAGAAAATTTGGACGCCACTATCACTGCACGAGTATCATTTGTTTAACTTTGCTTTTAGCTTTCAAACAGTATTTGAATTAAATACTTTAAAACTAACAGCTAGAAAATAAGAGATTAATACTTTAAACTGTTTTTACTTTTTCCATTACACAAACAACAATTCCTTACAAAAATCACTTTCTTTTTATGCATCATCAACTTTTATTACTAATCACTTTTTATATAAGTTCTAAAATAAATCAATTCTGAAAAGTAAAAACAAATGGAAACATCCACAATATGGATAAAGCCACTAGCATTGTGCACACAGACAACAAGTGGATAACTCATGTAGTAGTTGTTTGTACCGATGTACTGTAATGCCATTCCCACTATGTATTATCCGTTAGCTAGCTAAAATTATGGATAATGTTTATAATGATCATGTTAATTGGAGCATCTTTTATCGGATCTTGACTTACTTGTTTGTTAAGATGTATTCCCTCGCGGATCTTCTTGCTTTCCCTTTTTATGAGTCCCTAAATGAAGTTCTTTTCTTTCTAAATGGAAAGTTATCTCACATCAAAACAGTGTCAAACATTGTTAAACAGTGTGCCAAATAATATCAAAACAGTTTCAAAACAGTAAATTTTACCCCTAGTAGGTTTATTTCCTTAATATGTATGTAAGTCAAACTATACATTATATTTAAAGAGATTATCAAAATAAAAACTCAAACCCCAAAATCATGAATCCGGAGGACGATCTACATATCAGATCATCAGCTACAATGGGTTTGAGCCCCCCCCCCCCCCCATTTTTCATTTTATATATATAAATTTTTTCATTGTTTAAATTTAGTTAAAGTGCTAATGTTTATATCTAGTCCTAGATTCTTCGATCCACCCCACCTAAGTATCCATTCATCTTATTTGAGGGAACGTCTTTAAATTTATTCATTCTTGAATAATACTCAGTAGTATTTTTCAAGGTCTTCTCATGAATATTACTCCGGTACTAAATTAAACTCAAAAGACAAAAATATGATTTATTTTAATTCCCCCCAAGAAGTGACATATTTAGTGACTAATTCACAGTGACTAATCATCTACAGTGACTTGTCATTCTAATATATACTATAGTGACTAGTTCATGGTAACTTGTAACAATGACTAGTCATATTTTTACCCGAAAAATCTGGATTGGTAACTGGTAAGTGAACTACAGGGACTATGTCATTTTTTCTATTTCCAATGTAAGCGATCAAATGTCAACCAGGAAACTTGTCCCTTTTTCTTTTGGATAAAATTACTCCGTAATATTTACTCTCATTCTATTTACGCTGCCGACTTCACATCTGTCAATTGCATTCCAGCATTTAAAATAAAGAAACAAAAGGCGTGCAAAAAGTTACTCCCTTTTCCGAATTTCTTGGCAAAATTTTTCCTTTCATTTTCAGCGTTGGTAGACTGACATAAGCCTCCTCCGTATCTATTTGGATTTCCTATAAACATGCTCTGCATCTCCGTATCTTCAGCCTCCAGGGCGGTGCCTTTCCGTTGAGAAGTTTCAAACTTTCAATGAGTTAGACCCTACCGATATTCCAGCGTTTTCTTTTGTATGCAAACCAACAACAAGGGGTTCGAAGGTAAGCTTGGTAGTTCGTATGAATGAACATTGCGTAGGATGAATTCATAATTTTTTATGGGATTAAGTTGAATTTGGATCCTGGGTAATCAACATTTGCATTTGTTTGTCTGGCTATCCATTGAATTTGGTTCGTATTGGGGTGAAGATCAGATCTTTTGTGTAATTCCCAGCTGCTTTGAATGAAAAGATTGATTTTTAGGAGTTATTATTTTTGCTTTATTGATTGATTAATGGTAGCTTTGATAAATATGGAGCATAGTATTGGAGGATTGAATGGTGAGAGTGAAGGGGAGGAGATGGAAAGAATCCCACTATCCCATAACCATCGTGTTAGTCAAAACCTAGGATTGCGCTTTCGTAATTCTGGAGATGTAAAACTGAAATCATATGTTTTTGATGGAGAAGGGAATTATTATGATAAAGATTGGGAAATCTCACCAGAGGGTAATAATGGCAGAGAGTTTTGTTGGTACCATGTGGAGCTTCCCAAGTACAACCAGAAACTTTCACAATCTGCGCAATGCCTTATTGATGTCCTCTGCCCCCCTCTTAAACTCCAAGACATTCTATCACTTGTTAGCAATGGACCTTTCTGTGGGAATGTTGATGGTGCACTTGTCTTCAGGGTGAATTCACCAGGACCCGCATCGAGTAAGTTCACTTTCAGAATTGCAGCAAGAATTACTGAGCATTCGGTTATTACGGTTTCATTAGGACGTGTCCCGAGATTGGAATTCTCGCGGACAAACGAGTCCCTTCTCTCAGAGGTTCCGGTTGTGGAAAATCCTGGTTATGGTCATTTGCAAGAGAAGGAGAGGGGTGGGATTGTAATTAGGGAACATGTTCTTGATTTCCTATTGACGATGAACCACTCTGAGGAAGCAGATAATCCTGTCCCCAAATCTGTGTCCAATCTTGTTGTTCACGTTATAGACACTCATGTTGATCAGCTTCAAGATGTTGTGACTAATCTGGAGATTGAGTTGGACTCTGTGGAATTGGAATTGGACAGAGGTCTGTATATATGTTTGAGCTGTGTTTTTTTAGTTTAAATTTTAAAAGTTTTAACATAAGGTATTCCAGATACTTATTAGCCACGGATGAAGTTTTTTTAAGCAACAGGTGAAGTGTTTATATTTGCCAAATTTTAAAAGTTCTAACATGGAGTTCTTTGCCTGGTTTCTTGTCAGGTGAATTTGCATTGAAGAAACTAATGTTAGATGATAGAAGATTTCCAAAAATGCATCTTGACTTGCAACGCCTTCTACTGGTATTTCTTAGTTCTGCCTATGTCATCAACTCATCATAAACTATATATAATGTTTATTCTTTATTTCCTTTAGTATTAGAATGTTCAGTGTGAAATTGTCTTATAGGAGTAATAAGTCGTCAAATTCTTTAAATAAGAGGACTCCTATAGTTATATACTACTACGTACTATACTACGTATTATTCTTTTGTAGGGATGTATGGCTCCTAAAAGTAAAGTTATTTGTTTTGGAGAAATTTACCTTTTGTAAGTATAAAGTAAAGGTATAGCTCAGCAGTAATTTTGTGATTTATTAAGTATAAATACTATACCCTGTGACTCAGCAATTACGCATATTTCACATTGTGAGTGTACATACCTTTGACCATGCACCCGAACACTAGAAAATCAAAACTTTTATAAACAGTCACTGAGTCCAGAGTAGTATGATAAATTTACAAATTTTAGTCCTAAAAAAATTAACGTTAAAGAATTTTCGTGATACTGAAAACATGTTACTCTTATCTTGGGAAATTTCACTTGCATAAAAGCACTTTTGATTTTTTAGTATATGAGAATCGGATATCAATTTTAGCATGTAAAGTTAAAGTTTTGGATAAATAGTTTTGGAAGGCTTAGTTTATACTATGTATTATGGACTGATTCATGTTAGCCGACCCCAAAATCTTTTGGGAATAAGGCTGGGATGTTGTTGTATCTTGTTTTTGTAACACATTTGGTAACTTGTGTGCATCCACACTTTATTTCAATCAAGATGCGTATGTGTGCCCAAGTCTTTGCCGTCATTTGAATCATTAAGTTGGAAATATTTTCTTTAATCCTGGTTTGCAAGTCTTTGCTGTCTGAGCATTCAGGAAAACCCAAAAAGAAATAAAATGCATACTTAAACTCAACAAGATATATGCCAATATGTATGGGATTAACTTTTGTCTATTATATCAAAACTAAGGAACCTGAATGTATGCATTTTTTCTGTAAAAAACCCCATCAGTTCATTCATATTTCGAGGTGAACCCAAACGTAAGAAAATTGTTTTCTATAGCATTTTTATTATCTCCCTAGCATTTTCCAGGAATCAAACATACCATAAGGCAGATGTAGCCATCTAGTTTCAGGGGAGAATAGCCATTTGAGAGCTAATCCTGAAAAGGACGAGTTTTCATATTCTGTGCCAGAAAGTTCTTGATGGACAGTGATTCAAAAAGCGGGTTTGCAGGTGATTTCATATGGAGAGCAAGTATATCCACGAGTCAAGGAGAAGTGTTCTTCAAAAGATTGGTTTTCCAGTGAAGACATTGTCTCCCTAGAAGAGTTAATTAGTCGACTGAGAAGATTGAAGGAGAATGTTGGGTTTATAGCTAACCGTGTCACAGTTGTTCAAGCTGGTCTTGACAGCTGGCAGTCTGAGCAAATAAACCGCAAACTTTACTACCTCTCCTTCTTATCCATCATATTTCTTCCTTTATCCGTAATAACTGGAGGTAAGATTCTCTTCATATATCTTTTTTGTTAACCTTCAGGTATACTGAGATGGTAGTGTTTAGGGACACCATAGGTTATCAAATACTAGTACATGGATTGAACACCCCATTATCATATCCTTAACAATACTTATCTGCAATGTTACTCATTCATGAAGGATTAAAATATTAAATTGGTAATTTAGTAGGGAGTGTCACATATGTGGGGTGATCAATGGTGACCCTTAGGATCCGTTTGGAGCGTGGAAAATACTAGGTAAAGGGAAAAAGGAAGAAATAGAAGGATATAAAATTTGAGTAAAAATAAAGGATAGACTCAAAACTCAATAAATTTGTTGTCGATATTTGTCCAAACTCTCTTATTTAGTTATATTATATCAGGATTTTTTCTTAGGATATTTGTCAAATAAATCTCAGTAGAAAAAAAATATGACTACATGGTCACTAACTGCGACAAATATTTAAGTAATCATGGCACAATAGAATATCATTATGGTCACTACTGTTGCTGTAGAAATACTATGATGTTCAATTTTTCACTATCGTGTAAAAGTCATATACTCATATCACATATTTATCTATTATTTTTATTGTAGTGATATATACTATAAAAAGAATAACTTGAATCTAAAATAGAAATTGCTTCAAGTAGGACTAAAACATAGACAATATGTACACATAGCACTACATGAGTATTATTCATTATTTCACTATGTATAATAAAGACTACGAGATCTAATCAAAAGGAGTTTAAAAAGAGAATATAATCATACTCCATTTTCCCAGGTAAAAGTGAAGAGAAAATAAGAAAATAACTCCCCTTCGCATTTTCTTTTCCTTCTAGGCTCACAGTGCATCCAAAGTCCACACATATTCTTCATTCCTTCAACATATTTTCATAATGAAATGTTTGACATTAATTTTCTCATACAATGACTTGTCTAACAGTGTTCGGGATGAACGTGGGAGGGGTTCCTTGGACTAACCAAAAAGAACCAGAGTTGAAAGATGGTTTTAGGAATGTCATGTTTCTGTGTGTAGCTATGTTACTGTTTGTTCTTCTCTGCTTCCTTTTCCCGACTCTTTATAGTCAGTTCATGGCTTGGAAAAGAAGACAGGCTATGAGAAGAAGTTGGTCCATCAACCGTAGATCTTTTGTTAGAAGAGGTACAGGCTGCACTGATAGAACGGGAAGAGGCGGCTATCTTCGTCTGTATTAGAGAATCAAATGTGTGGTCCGTCTTTAGCGTAAGCTATTAGTTTGTGCTGGTCAGGATTGTGCAAATGAATCAATTGGAAACTCATTGCTGCTGAACCATTTCTGAACCGGAGATCCAAACGATTAGAAATTACCATTTGCTAGAAAGGGTAAAAGAGAAGGTACCAGTTTTGTAAATTGGCTCCATCTTCAGACTCCATTTCTTTTCCGTGTTGCCGCTCTCTGTATAGATGTTTTTCCCTTTGGTTTCTTGTTTTAATTTTTTATCACGTGTTATTTGTAAATTTTAAGCTTAGTTTACTCGATTCAGGCCCCCATTTTACTCAATTCAGGTTGATGCACAATCTTGACTCCATTCCCTGACCCTTTTAAGCAGTAATTTTAAAACAACTATTTGATGATGTTTTGGACTTGAAGATGATTGAATTGAAGATAACTTAATGTTCAAATCTTTTGAAGGACAAATATTACTTAATGCTTATGTCCCGACTCCTAAGTCGTGCATTGTATTTATAGCTTGTGAAATTCATGAATCCTACTTACATCTATTCATTTTATTTGTTAAGTTAAGAATTCATATGTAACTCACTCATGTTTTATCACTCCATAATCTTGTTGGCATCACTTTTGTGCCATTCCACGACACCTTTTGAAAGTCATCTTCTTCTGCAGTCCGATGTGTTTGTTTCTTTCCAAATTAATTGAGTCCCTTGCGTGCAACTGTGCAAGAGTGTCCAAAAGTAAAGTAAACACAGTAAGAGATCTAACGTAACTTAATATGAGTAAAGTTTTTTATTCATGATTGAGAAATGTTGTTATTAGTAACAGGAAAAACTGTCATGTTAATGCTTAGTGCTGTAACTATTTGATAATGATGACTGCTACATGATAGTAAATTGGGAAAGTTCCCGAAATAGGACTAAAAAAGTTTGAAAATTTCAAAATAGGACTGTCATGTTTTTATTCCCAAAATAAGACTAATTACTGTCAAATTTGGAAAATATTGCCATGTTTGAAGTCTGATACTGCCAAAACATGACAGTAACTAGTCCTATTTTGGGAATAAAAACATGGAAGTCTTATTTTGGAATTTCCAAACTTTTTTAGTCCCATTTTGGGTAATATCTCTAGTAAATTTTGCTATGTTACTTTTATTTTGAGAACAAAAATATAACAATCTTGGAATTCCATAACTTATTTATTTACTCTTATTTCAGAAACTTTTCCCACAAAAATATTCTCATGACTTCAATCCCTAAATAAAGTATCAACTTTTTAGACCATTACATTAATAACTGATTGGAGTATTGGACAGTTAAATGAGAGAGATAGGATTCCAGCCCATGTCTTGCGGCACCATCTCCCTACCAGCTATGTTATCCCTACCAGCTATGTTATATTGTGTTATATTGTGGTTGCAGTGTTGCACGCAAGGAGATTTTGGATAATTAAAAGCTTCTGACTCCTTTAGATTGGGCATCTAGCCATCAAGTAACAATACACCGTATATAAAAACTTCAAACCAAAACAGAGGGAGCACATATGTGTGAAACCTTGAACAGGAATAATGCGTGTGATTGTGTCAACCTCTAAAGGCTTCGAGTCTCACGTACCAATACATATGCAGCCACTATGCACTTCGAGTCTCCCCACTTCTCCAGCAACACATATGCCCACAATCTTCTATCGTACCAATACCACTTTAAAAACGTGCTAGAGAAAAAACGCAGCCACTATGCACTTCGCAAGTTAGCCAAATCATCAAACAACCCCCAATTAAAAATAACTCAACAGATAGGCAACAACCAGAAAAGAATGTGAATTGCAGAAAATACACATGTATTACAACTATACACATGAGGAAGGGTGGGAAAAAGGTTTATCTCAACCATCTAACATATATTTCATTTCCTAATATTATTATCACTAAGAAGAACCTGACTACAAAAATAAAACAATAAAATGAAGCTAATCCCTAATCATCAATGCCATTGCACAAGACTTGGGTTTAAATCTTCTTTCCTTCCCCCGAGCTGGGCACAATCTACACCTGCAAGGGTTTTTATGAGCATGTCAAGTCATGCATTTAATCATTTCCCAACAATACATGTATACAACTGCATCAGTCGAAGCAATAAATAACCATTGATATACATACCTCATCATTACAAAGATTAGATTACACATTGGATAACAGTCCCACAAAAGGTGAGCGCCACAGCTCAGGCAGATGGATAATTCTCTCAGCATACACACTATGCCAACTAGAGTCAAGATTGTGCGTCATCTGCATCTGAGTCACTCCCAGAGCTCCCGGAATCAGAACCTGTAAAAGTTTATATTAATTAATACAAACATTTCAGGGCCTGTTTGGTGGGTTTGAGCTGAATCAGCTGATTATTTTGAAAAGAAGGATGTTTGGTTATTTCTTTTTCAATCCAAATAAGTTAACATCCTAACTTATATTCTGATTATCATGTCCATCTAATAACAATGTCATACAGCACATTCATACAAAAGGTGTACTACCACTGGAAGAAGAGGAATCACTGCTTGAGCTACCGGAACTGCTAGAGCTACTACTGCCATTATCAGGCTCTCTACCACCGCCGCCGCCTTCATCCTTTTCAATCTCAATCAGAGGAAAGCTGGCGGCAGGCGTGTTGTCCTCATCATCATCATCAATGTCAACATCCTCATCACCAGCTTCCCCCTTTTTAGGCTTCCTTGGTGAATCAATTTTCTCGCTTAAACCACACTGCAAATGTAACAAATATTAATTAAAGACGCATTCATAAGCTGTTTCACTTCCTCATTTAGATAAGGAAAATGCATAAAACTTACCCCATCACCATCGCCATCTATGTTGGATGTGACCGCACCACTAACTGAAGGGGTCTGTCCAGACAAATTACCCAATAAAGCTTGTCTCTTGGTTTTGCTAACCAATTTCTTCCAATTGGTCACGAATCTATCAAGCTCCCAGAGGGTCTCTGTATCTAAAGCCTCAATGTCCAGCTCAATCTCATCACCATCTTGGGCCAGATGCTCGTTCCTCTTCCTTATAATCTGCACTAGCTGGGGCATCTTCTCCTCCGGCAAATTCTGCAATTCCATTCCAAGTTTGTGCTTCTCCTCCATTTGCATCTCCCTCTTGTTCGGATCCTTAGCCTTTGGCTTTGGTTGTTTGGGCATCGTTCCTCTGGTTGTTGGCATCACAGGCGGGGCTCTCACTGGAGATGGAGTTCGAATGGGGGATTGTTGACGTGGAGGTGGGTTGGGAGGTGGTGGTGGTGGGGCGGAAGGCGTAGAGGCACTGGAGTGGTTCGAAAACCTTTCTTGTTTCTTGAAAACTTGGCGGATAGGACTAGTCATAGCCTTGGGCATCTTAGCTCCTCTCTCTGGGCTTGGGATGTCTTGGTTCCATGAGCTCCCCTGTAATTCATCGGCAGCAGAAATGAAATCCCTTCGCTCACACTCGATTCTATTGAGCTTTTCTTGAATAGGCCTGAAAAGTTCTTCAAATCTTGAAAGAAGCTGATCCGCCCATCCATGGACTTGATCCGTTTTCGGGTTGTATAACAGCGCATTATTGAATGTCAGCCTCACGTCAGCGGCAAATTGGGATGGACTCCGATAAAAATCTTTGGCCAGGTTTGACTTCACCGTACCCAAATCCATGGGGTTCTTGACAATCTGGTGATAATCATGAAGACCTAAGGCAGCCGCATCTACAGGCGTGTTGAAAATCCAAGAACTTTTATGCTTCATCAGCTTTGCCAGAACCTGCCGGCATTCCTTCATCATATTTTCCAGATCAATTCCACCGATCGCTCCACCAACACCTGCATTCCTGTTGTTATCAACGCCATTGCAATACTTTTTAAGATCTTTATTAGATCCAGAAGGGACAGATCGCTTATTTCCGGAACTTTTCTTTGATTTCACATTAGATCTCGGATTGTGGTTGACGGTGGTGCTGAGGTGACCGGACTCAATTCGATCCTTCAGGTTCCGGATCTGCTCCAGTTCCGACACCAGCCGTTTACGAAGCTCGTTGAGCTCCAATTTCGAGTACGATGGGATATTAAACGTCAGATAGCCTCCGAAATTGGGTCCATTTGATTCGATTGGCCGTTGATTGAACGAATACGCGTCATCAGAAGCGGTCTGCGTAACCACCGGAGAATCGTCAAACGCACGACCGCTAGCGGTTTGATGGAAGTGCTTCTGCTTTTTCTTGGGGTTAGAGCTAGGGTTAGGATTAGGATTCAAATGGGTATGAGAATAAGGGGTTTTCCCCATGAATCCAGCACCGGCATCACCGGATTGTGCCCAGCTCGACTCATTTCTGCTAGCTAAGACGGCAGAAGCCATGAATCGCAGCGAAGACGCTGAATTCCAAAGATGTGGTGGTTAAATTGATCGTTTTCAGGTGGCGCAGAATACATGTATCGGAAGGACGTGCACCGCACGCTCTCGCCGGAATCCGAGAAAATTTCCTAACCGGCGGAAGTCGTTGGCTACAGATCACTCAACCGACAACCCGAAATCGAAAATCAATACTGGAAGAATCTATATCTATATTTATACACAGTATATTAAAGGCAAGGGTTTCCAGGATTGAGCGATGAACGAAAGGGCGAAGGCATCGCCTCTTAAAGGCGATGTGATCTGACCGGGAAAATTTCGGGCAGATTCTGAGCCGTCGATGTCGTTGGGCCCTCTGATCCAACGGATGATGTTGGCTGGTTTGCTGTCTTATTTGCTGACCGAGAGAGCTTTCATGAACGGTTGAGATTCATGGAGTCGTACACGTGGATGATCAATAAGCGTCGGTTGGTCTGAAATCTGGAGTTTATTTTATTTATTTATTTATTGTTTATTACGTCCGCAGTCCGCTGGTTTATTAATGAGGGCCCCGTATTATTAATTTATAATTAATTATTTTTTTCACCCTTTCCAGAATAGGGTTTGCTAAATGGGCGTTTGAAAACGGGTCGCATCGGTCGCGAATTTAGGGTCATTGGTGGGAAGGAAAAGGTTGGGGCCCAAAGGAGAGGGGTTGACGTGGCGAGTAAACCGTGATAGAGAGCAAAACCACGCATACGCATGCACTGTATGTTGACGTGTCAACAAGGCCTCGTCAAAGTGATGAAATAGTACTCGTCCAAAATAAGAGTATCTTTATTATACTCAAATTACAAACACAATTTTTACATTTTCAGCCACTTTATTTATAATTGTGCCAAAGTCAAAGGAGATGCATGAAATGGGACGGAGGAAGTACGCTCTTGCGCGGTTTGTCAATAAATTTAATTTCCCCTCGATTTATATGAACCTTCTTCAAATCAATTTGATTTTTTCCTGCAATCTAACTTTGTTATTGTATTCATTCAACCTTTTTTTTAAATTTGGTGATAGTGTTTCAGAATTTCACAAATCAAAAGGTATGGGAAATTCTTGGACAATTGCCTTATAAAAACTATGATAGAAAATGTACACTGCTAGATGGATAGTGTGTTAGATTCAATCATATTAGGATGAACATATATACATCACACCTACTATTTTAAAAATTAGCAGCTAGTTGGATCAAGTAGGTGTGCGTGCTCCTCAATCAGCCTAGTCGGATCGGAAAATCCGCGTAGTTGGATCTAGTCGGTGTGCGTGCTCCTCAATCAGCCTAGCCGGATCGGAAAACCCGCGTAGTTAGATCTAGTCGGTGTGCGTGCTCCTCAATCAGCCTAGCCGGATCGAAAAATTCGTGTAGTTGGATCTAGTCAGTGTGCGTGCTCCTCAATCATTCAACTAGCGTCTAACGAACTTCCTTATAACCCCTCTCCTTTTCTTCTAGAAGAATTGTCCATCAAAATGTCTTTCTTCCGTTGTGTCCTTCTTTCACATCCCTCTCTTTCTCTCTTTCTTTTCTTCTCAACGTTTCTCTTTGTTTTTTTTCTTATTACGTAATTCTCTTTTACGTAATAAGTTTACTATCTTTATGTCAATTTCCTCTCTCTTTGAACCTTTCTAACTTATCTTCCATTGGTTGCTCTTGTATCTTGATACTCTACAATTAATGGAGTTATGCCTCTAGTTCCCTCTTTGATTTCTTCTTCTCATAAAAACACTTTCCTCTTCCCTCTAGTTCCATCTCAAACTTTTGCATTTCAGAATCGAGAGAATCTCTTTTTTTAGTCAACGAGCTAAGAGCTTTTGGATCTCAAGTCTCAACTTGTAAATTAAAGGGTTTTTTTAATCATCAGTACATCACTAGCCCATCTTTATTGCTCAAGGGAATTTTCGTTTTCAATCAGTCAATTAATATGGAGCATAAACCCATAAAATGTTGATTTTTTAGGTGTACACTTACGACTGACTATAGCATAGAGGATAGTGATGATGAACTAATGCTCTCCTACAAACCTCTTTTCTAAGGATGCTGATGGGTTGGAGCAACAAAAGAATAGGTAAAAGTAGGGATGACAATGGGGCGGGTTTGGGGCGGGGGTACACTCCCCCTTCCCCCGCCCCATGTTTAAAAAGTTTCCCCCATCCCCGCCCCTCCCTGTTACCCCCATCCCCACCCCATCCCCGCCCCATCCCGTTGTCCCCCACGGGTGCCCCCATATAGTTTTAATTTATCGTAGTTGCATATACTTTTAATCTCTTATTATAAATTTATGTAGTGTGATTCCAACGAGAACGATGCTTAACGTGGGAGCAATCACATTTAATCCAATATGATACACAATAATCCAATGTGATACACAATAGAGCCATTCTAGTGCACACATTTGGACTTTGCTCAATACAAGCTAATATATATAATCACGGTGGCACTTTTGTAAATTTATGCTAGATACGAAAAAGTGCATTGCGCGAACCCATTGTGTTTCACATTGGGGGTAAATGTGGTGTTCGCACATTCTCACGCTAAGCGTTATTCTCATTTGATCCTAAACCTATATATATCTACGCGCACACAGTCATATATGATACACACGCAACACTGAAGTATTGTGTTTGTTAAAAGTTAATACCGCCAATTTTAATAATTCTTCAATTTGAATAAGTTTTGTGAATTGAAGACAATTAAAGTAAAAAATATAAGTAAACATATTATCACCATGTACCTTGTTTCAAAATTCTCAACAATTACAATACAATTAATTACATACTATCGGTATTATATTACATATAAATGTGTGTGTGTATTTATTTACTCACTTTCCCACTCCTAAAACTTATATAACATTTATGATAAATACTTTTAATCATTATTAGCTTATTACTCCATATTATTCTAGTATAATATGTGTATTAATTCATTAACCATGATTAAATCGTATACAATTATGTATGTCTATATGTATATGAGTTTGTTATATACTACATATAATTTAATTTAGTATGTGTGTACATTATTTATATAAGTGTATATATATGTTTGAGTATATATTTATAACGGGGACGGGGCGGGGACGGGGCGAGTGTAGCAATACCCGTCCCCCGCGCCATATTTTAACGGCGTAAAAATATCTCACCCATCCCCGTCCCCACCCCGCCCAAGCCCCGCCCTATCCTTCCCCCGTGGGGCGGTTCCCCACGGGTCCCCGCCCCCATTGTCATCCTTAGGTAAAAGGGGAGGAGCCAAATGGACTTTATAAAACTAGACTAGAAATGAAAAAATGAAATAGATTGACATATGGGAAACCTTGTCATTAGATTGCCCGAGAATTAGCATATGACTGTTTAAATGAAACTATGACAGATCTAGATGTTCTGAAGAACTTAGAGGGTTTAATTGAAGGTTTAAAAATTAATTGTTGTTTTTAATAAAGTACAAGGGTTAATATGACAATTTCACCTTTTAGATAAGTTATGACAAGGAGCAAAAACATCAAAAAGCCGATCAAAAGAAAAAATAAGTCAATTGAGCTAACTTGATAGGTTTGTATATGAGCCAAAAAGTAAAAAAAAAAAAACATACTACCTTGTCTTATATTGATTGTCATGTTTTAATTTTATACCATTATTAATAAAATTGTTGAAAAGTAAAAGTTGTGATTGAAATTTGAGTTTGATATAGTGAAATAATAAAGATAATATATTTCTTGTCAAAAAAACAGAACATTCATTTTGGGACAAATAATAAGAAAAGTAGGACAACCAAAATATGATAATAGGAGTAACACACTTTGCATTTTAATAAATGTAATACATATGTTGGCATGACCTGGGTAATTGATATTTGGACATTTTTTGTGGAGCTGTGCGAGGTAAAAGTCTCATACTCCGTATAATAATACTTCCTCCTTATTTTAATGTTTCTTACATTAGCTTTGAATACAAGATTTAAAGGAGAATAGTAGAGATAATGAATAGTATAGAAACAGTAGGAGAAAAGGCGAAAAAGTAGAAAATAGAAAATAAAAATAGAAAAAATAATGGTAATTGAGTATATTTTAAGCAAAAAATTATTAAAAAAGAAAATGTATCAAACTTTTTTTTTATGTGTATCAAACTTTTAAGTAATGTATGGAATTTTGCAAAAGTGTGTGGAATTTAAAATAAGGAGGGAGTTACTCTTTGGTAATAGTTTTGGTGGAATTGCGGACTGCCACTACTCCGTCAATCTGCGCGCCGACTTCTGCAATCTGAATCGAAGGAAGATAGAAGTGTAATCTTGCTATTCAAGGCTATGAAAGAAAGGTAAATATCCTTGTTCTTTTTACTTATTATCAATTAGATTATACAATACTTTCACTTTCGATTACTCTTCTTTTACGAAAGTCTTTCGATCGAGAAGCTCTTGAACTTGTTTCCCTATTACAATTTCATTCGTTTAAAATCAATATAAGAAGTTTTCTTAAATTCTTGAGCTTTAATGATAAGGTCTTGAATAGGTGATTAAATTCTTAAAATCTTGATCGAAGTTTTTGCTTTTTAGTATTACGCTTTTCGATCCAGAAGCTACTGAACCTGTTCAACCGTCGACCTTTATGTATAAGTTTTTGTTTTCCCAGACTCGATGACATCAAAGTTTTTGTTTTTACAATTAAATAAAAATCCCATCTATAAGTGTAGAACTGATACATGAAGCAAACTATGTAAAGAGATTTATGCACTAAAATCTCTTTAGTGCACTAAGCAAACTAAAGAGAAAGTGTTCGTGTTATGCTTCTAAGTCTCTGATTTTGGTCTAGCCTCAGTCTGCTTTCGGTCTTTCTGAAAGATTTGACAATACCTATAGTAGGTGTTATAGCCTTATAGGGTATAAGTGTAGAACTGATAAATGCTTTGAGGGTATTTTTGACCTTGAATGAAAGAGAAAATGATTCTGTTAGGTAATTCCAATTAGCATTGTTACTTGCAAAGCCAAGTCATTTATAGTGTAGTTGTGTATCTTTTGTTGAACGTCATATAGTATAGCACGCTTAATAATAAATTACAACTATCGTGTATTGTTCATTTGTTCTTTTCATGTATCTTTTGCACATCAATTTGTGAGGGGGTAATAGCCTAAAACGATTATGCATTTATGTATAATAATATATTGCTTCTGTAAGTGAAGCAGGAACTCCTACCCCAAGTCTACTGGTTATTGCAAATGCCATTTTATGGACCTGAAGCCTTCAACTTTATGAGTTTATGTAATAATTAAACTCTTCAGCTTTGTTATAATGTTGAATTCTGAAATTCCAGATTTTGTTGTTGAGAAGAGTCTCTGTTTGATACCCTGAATGAGTCCCTGGAATAAGTCGGAACCTAGAAATCTAGAATCATTAAGTTCTGTATCCGAGGTTATTTTGTATTTCTTAAGGTGGGCCGGTACGAAGCACTCTCCTTCAAGATCAAGTATCCAGTGTCCTTAACTCTTAAAATTGACCTTGTTCTCTTAAACTGAAGTTGTTTTACAGGTACAAACTAAACCATTATGGTCACAATTTTGCTACTTATACTCACTTTCTTATATTCACCTTATACCCACCCCCGTGAGAATGGTTATTTTTGTCTGTGAATCTGGAACGGTTAATGTATGCTAGAATTGAGTCTGTGTCAGTGACCAATTGACCATGCATCTTTATCTGGAGTTTCCTCTTTGGTTCCAGTTCAAAATTGAAAATGGGCAGATGTACAACTAGAATATATATGGCCTGTTCACTACATAGAATAGAATAAATACGTAAAAAAGTGTAAAACTAAATAGACGACTTTGACACTAAATATAATGTTTTCACAGTATAATATAACTTTATATGGTGTGCTTACTACGTACATAGAATAGAATAAGTTAGTAAAACTAAATTTATTTCCTTAGTGATTAAATAGATGACTTTGAGACTTGAAACATAATTTCTTCAGTATTATTTACTTATATTATCTTTTCTTTATATGCTTTGCAGGTTCAAGAAACAAACAAATTAGACATCCCTGCAATCCAAAGTTTAATAGGTATATTTTTACTTGTTTCACATTTTAAGTTCAAAATATATAGAGAAAAGGATCAAATAGACCCTTATACTATCTTAAAATCATGTACTTAAGTCCATGTACTTAAGTAAGTGTTATATACATATGTTTACTTGTAAAAAACCATATACTATCTAAACCAAAATGACTTGAAGGTGACCGGTCCTGGTGTTTTTTTTACTATGTAGCATTTACTCTTTTTGTTTCTTACCAATTTTCTATTCCATTTCTTTTCTTTCTTGTTTTCTCTTGATTCTTTCTCAGTCCGCTATATCTGCAACCTGCTTCCATCTATGATTTATTCTCCTTTCTTTACCCGGATTTTAAGCTTCCAACAAACCTGCTATCTTATAAAGGAGATAATAAACAGTCCCAGAAATATATTGTAGGCTAACGAAAGAAATTGAAGTCATGTATTTGCATGAATATGGCTCATCAGCGACTTATCCGAAATTTATGGTGGGCATGGTGGGTGAAAATGGTGGTCAGCTATTTTGGTACACCAAAATTAGCTGGTTAATTATAGGAATTTGCCCATTTTTCTTCATTCCAATACTCCCTATTAATTTTTATCTCTCAACCAATAATACTTGAAGACCACGAGAATTGTTTTATATGCTAAGTCGAATTGGAATGATGACCTCAAGTTTGTGGCAATTACAGATAAAATTAGGTGCAATCTAAATAATTCTAGAGAACAAAAATATGGGTGGTTGAATATTAAGAGCAAGAACATGCTAAGAGATAAAAACATGTCATACGAGCAGAACCTAATCCCTACAGCAAGTAACAAGACTTACTCAGAAAATCTCTAAACCATCCTCGTAACCCTGAACTCCAAATAAGAGAAATTATAGAGTAATAACTACCTACTGGATATGAATGTCTGGCAGTAGCATAGTAGCAAGATAGGAATCCCCTAGTCATTCAAACATACAACCTACGATAGGATTTAATCTGTCAAAATGAAAGAATGAAGTCTCAACAATTCACCATATGACACAAAACAATTACAGAAGAAAAATATGAATATGAAGTACGTGGCTCGTGTGGGTAAACAGAAATGCAAGTATATTGCATGCAACTACTTCCAATCAAGTATTCCTCCCCACTTTGAAGCTTCGACGACATTATAAAGAAGGGAAGAGGAAGCAAAGCTACTATTGGAAGCATGAGTTCAGGTAAATACACTACCGCATAGGGTGGAACATATGTCGGATATCACCACCGCCAATGCCATCTCTGATGATAGTTACTCCTATTACAAGCTATTAGGTCATATAAGAAACGTGAGTTCGCCAATCTGCATATTACTTTGCAAATTTTCTAGAATCAATTATAATATAGCTTTAACTTAAACGAGATGAAAGCACATAGCTGGTGAAATACAATTCGCACATTCACATTCGAGTTTAAGATATACGGAGTAATTATATACTTTGTAAGTATCTAAACACTGTCAAGTTTGGTTAACAAAGAAATCACATAACGGTGATCTTGAAAGAGCTGCAAACGAATTTAATAGCGTCTTAGGAAATTTTGAGGTAAAAAGCACAAGCAATATATGAAAAGGAAAGATATGATTTGATTTTTAGAAAATTGTTCGCCAATAACCTTACCCCTGCAATCGTTGGAATTACCGAATTGCTAGGCAATTGATTGATAGCTCCGTCTTCTCTTCCATGATGGGAGAAGCATCAATAGCGGCCAGACCTCTCAATTGTACTTGTCGGAGCAGCGATTACAGATGGTAGAGCCATCATTGCAGCAGATACTCTGACCTTGTCATGTAAGTATTCAATAATTTTTTGTTCGTCGGCGAGCCATAGAAAGTGAAGCTGCAGATTTCGTAGCTGAGCCGCACCTCCTTCTCAAGTGTTTCTGCTGCAGAGGGAGGGGGGAGAAGTGTCGCTCGGCAGTGGAGTTTTGGGGCTGAATGGAAGTTAATGTTGCAGGAGGTTAAGATCAGAATGTTAAATCGCCGATGGTCGAGGAGGGTGTAGGTTCTAATTTTAGCTGCTAAGCTATTTTTGAAATAAAAAAAATAAGTGAAAAGTTAAAAGTCTAGATATGAAAAAAACTTTGTGGTGTGCTATAAAAGAAATACAATAGACAATAGTGGCTAAAACGGGATATTCCACAAAAATTTATGTATAAGCCCAACAGGGAATGAGGATTTTTTCTGCATAGTATGGCACGTCTGATATCCGACTCTTCGCAAATTGCAATTCTTTGAGTTCAAATAGGATAATGAATTAATCTAGAGAGTAGAGATCCCTCAAAAAGCCAAAAGGCAGTTGACGAGTCGCCATAGTAAAATAGATTTTTAGATTGAAAGGCTATGAAACTATATATGCTTATGCAGTTATTTGTAAGACCAGATGCTAGATTTGGTAAGCGGTAGTATGATAGGTACAAATGTACAATCATGGAGGTCTAGCGCATCCGCTTTGACACTTTGCTCATTAGACCAATAGGTAAATTTTCATCTAGTTTCTCCAATGTCTTGTTTATACAAGTGTTAATAGTCTCTCGTGACGTTCAACAGATTTAAGCTTGTGTTATTCAGAGCCTCAAACACTCTAAGCAACACAAAGATTAAGTTCATAAATAGGATTATTATTATTTTATTTTCAAAGTAGTACTCATTCAATCCTATTTTGGAAATTTTTAATCAATTTATTCTTTCAATATAACTAAATAAGTCCTATTTAGAGAATAAATCATATTTAAACCCATTTTTGCACTTTGTGTATATTTTGGTTCTATATTGAGCAATTTCTATTTTGTCTATTACGTTGATTAGTGCTTTGATATTGCTAGATAATACAAAGTACAGAGTATTATTTTTTGTATTTTAAGGCCTCCATTCATTTTTTAACAGGGCCCTTGATACGTCAGGGCCGGGCCTGCTCGAAACCTTCTTCTTCTCCAAGGCATCTACCATGGCTACTCTACGAATGATAGGCAAGTAACCTGAATTCATATTCATCTTCATATTGATGAATTATTTTATTAACTCAATTATTCTTAGTTCATTTCCATTTCAGTTACACGAAACTTTACTTTGTTTGAACCGTTTTATCTGAATATCTGACGATGCCATCTATCATTCTCAAATAAAACAGATATTGCAGTCAACTTTACAGGTCAGTGGAGTTCCAAAGCCACTTCAAATGCACATATTTAGTTTTTCTTTACATATAACTTTCCTGTTTAACCTATAAATAGAGTGAAATTACACTTCAGATAGCATGTTCAAAGGAGTATACAATGGGAAACAGTATCATGCTGCTGATATTCAAGCTGTTCTGAAGCGAGCCTGGGCTTCTGGGGTTGAAAGAATCATAGTAAGTTCAGTTCTCTCGCTTACCCACACCCGTTAACTAGAAGAGAGATTGACATTCTATGCTTGCTGTCCTCCAATAAGCGAATGCTGGAAAGAGGAGATCTTCATTTTTTAGACTCAGAGAGTGAATAGTGCTGCAATTTTTTGTAACTTGTATTTGAGTAGAACATTTAGATGACAATTTGAAAAGGGGAAAAGGAAAACGATAACACGAGTTAAAACCTGACAGTCTGTGTTTGGATTTCTAGCTACATAGGTTATATTTTCTTTTATGTTGAACCTCTCAAAAGTTAGAGTGATATTTCCATGGCAAATGTGTGGAAAATTCTGTAAATAGAACAAAATAGTTTGTTTTTGCCTTCTCTCTCTCTCTCTCTCTCTCTCTCTCTCTCTCTTCGTTGTTGATTTACATCGAGTACCCCAAATGGGTGTATAAGGGGCAAGCCTCCCATTTACCATTTTTTTACAAGAGGCCGCTGCCAAGACTTAAACTCGTGACCTCTTGATCACACAACACCACCTTAACTGGTGCGCCAAGTCTCCCCTTCATTTCACATTTGTAAGCTTTATATAGAAGGACATATCCAAAACAAACCTTTACCAAATGGCCATGCTTTACTGTAGAGCAAAACAAATCCTGCTCAACTTAAATCTTATGCCATTACGGAGGAAGCTCTTCTAATGTTTGTATTGATGAGAAACGATGTTTGGAATATGATTTTTTCTTCTTTTCCTAAACAAGATATGATTGTTGGAAGATCAATATTAGTTTGTTCCACATGAAGATAGACTATTTTCTAAAAAATATTATAGGTTACTGGCGGCTCACTTGAGGAATCGAAGGAAGCTCTTGCAATTGCAGAATCAGATGGTCACCCTTGCCATTTATATTGTTTCTTTTACAACCACTCTCAATTGTATGTCATGATGTAGCTAATCATTATAGTGGTTTTATTATGCAGCTAGACTGTTCTGTACAGTAGGAGTGCACCCGACAAGATGCAACGTAGGTTTTGTCAACTACGATGGTCTTTTAATTTTGTATAATAACTTAGTCAGACATACAATCATTTTCTTCTCATGTGTTCATTCAGGAATTTGATGAGAGTGGGGACCCAGAAGAGCATTTTCAAGCACTCTTATCACTTGCTAAGGAGGGCGTTCATAAAGGAAAGGTGTGCACTTTTTCCTGGCTTGTAAGAAGATTCATTCATTTTCCAAGCGGCTAGAGATGCATTTGCATCATCATTCTTAGTTAACTTTAACTTGTAAATCTTTTCTAGTTTATATTTCTGAAATGGTTTCAAGTTTGAAGTGAAGAATATGATGTGCGGCTCCTGTATTTAGGGGCCCCGTGACACCATATATCAGCTTTAGGGTTATATTAATACATAATATTGCAAAAAGTCCATATAAATTATTGATATTACAAAATAACATTAATTATCCTCTACGGCACCCCCAATCTGTGCGGAAGGAAACCACGCAGGTTGTGTTTAAGAAATTCAAAGTGCTGATAAAATATTTTTTTGGTGAAGATATCTGCCAATTGAGGATGAGAGGGAATATGTTGAACATGCAAATTATCATGAGCTACATTGTTCCCAAAAATGTTGATGTGTTTACTATGATCACATGGTACAAATATTATCGCACAAGAAACACAGAGAGTCAAAGTAGACACCCAACTTAGCTATAAGTGATTTGAAATTTTTCCCAAATAGATCCATTTCCCATTTGGTTGATATGGGAATGTAGCAATTACACTAAAATATTCTAAGCCTTTTTCTTTGTGCATGATTAGATTTTAATGAAGACATCCTAAATAACTAACGACTTCACCGCTTGTGTTTTGTTCTGATTTCATGCAACTGGTGAAAATTTCTAACTGCAAGTAAGGTGGTTGCCATTGGAGAGTGTGGATTGGACTATGATAGGCTTCATTTTTGTCCTTCTGATATTCAGAAGAAGTATGTATTCCTTCTAGTACATCAATCTCCCTGCAATTTAAGTGGTTTCCTGTTGAGTTTCTTGTCTCCCACCCCCCACTGAAAGGTTCATTGTGACTCTTTAAGTGATTTTGCTTTTCCATGATCTTGAAATTCAGATACTTTGAGAAGCATTTTGAATTAGCATCTATGATGAAGCTGCCTATGTTTCTTCACATGCGAGCAGCTGCCCATGATTTTTGTGACATATTTGATCGGAATTATGATCGGTAAGATTGGTTTCTTGTGAAACAGGAAACATAACAAACTTTTTGCATTAATAATTTCTTACAGTTACACCTTGCAATTGGATAATAGGAGAGTCATATAATCAATTGATTACAAGAGTTCTGTTTTTCTTCACTCAATGGAGATTACTCAGGTTGAAGTGTGACTTGTTTTTTGTTTACCCACCTGATCCGTTCCTATCATTTACAGGTTTTGTGCCGGTGTTGTTCACTCGTTTACAGATAGTGCAGAAGATCGAGACAAACTTCTCTCATTCAATAATCTGTTTATAGGTAAACCTTTTCGCCTCACCCCCAAATTTTTAACATATCATGCTTCCTGTTGAGTATCCCACATGAGTCGACAATTGGGTTTGGGTCTTGTATATAAGTTCATCAGTTGAGGATACTCTTAGGTGATTTAACCCAAATTAATTTGGTATCAGAGTCTAATATATTGGTTGTTTTTAATGGTGCTTGCCCACTTGATGGTTTCAGGGAGCACCTTTAGCCTTTAGGTCCGGTTTGTCCACCTTTTAGAATTTTCAGCCCGTCTTGGAGTGAAGGGTGTATGTTGACTCCGCATATGTTGTCTATTGGTTTTGAGTTTAGTATATGAGTGCGAGGTAAGCATCATCATTTAAGGATCCCTTTGTGGTGGTTTAAGCACAATTACGCAACTATTTATTTTTTAGGGTGTCGATTGTTGTATTTTTGTTAGGGAAATATCATCTCTTTAGGGTCTTTTTGTGATGGTTTAAAGCCCATTTCAACAACTCTGTATTCAACATCATCCTTTTGAGCGTGTGCTTAATCCTTGTATTTTGTTAGGTGTCAATGGTTGTTCTTTGAAGACTGAAGAGAACATCGAGGTTGTTAAGGGCATTCCCATCAATAGAATGATGATTGAGACTGATTCTCCTTACTGTGAAATCAAGAACACACATGCTGGGTCTCGTTTTGTGAAATCTTTGTGGTCGTCTAAGAAGAAAGACAAGTATGATGAAGAATGTCTCGTTAAAGGTCGCAATGAACCATGTTTGGTTAGGTGAGTAACCAATGAACTTGCATCTTTCTGATTCAAATATTTCCACCTATTCCCTCGATCACTTATTAGTCAATTTATTGTATTTCCGCTTGATAAGTGACCAGAAAGAATCAGAGATGGCAAAAGCTTTACTCCGTGAACAAAAAGAGGAAAAAAGTGAAAGTTAGAGATCAATAGCATGAATGACCTGATAGTCATCATGAGACTAAAAGTGACACTTTCTAGTTTCTATTGATGTAATGTATATATCAATATTTTAGGTCCAGCAATTGTGTTTAACGAGGTAACTAATCTCAACTTGTAGGCAAGTAATCGAGGTCATTGCTGCCACCAAAGGCATAGCTGACATTGAGGATTTGAGCAAAACATTGTATCACAACACTTGCAGGTGCATGATTAAATCAACACAGGGTTGTACTTTTGCACGCATTGCTTCCCTAAAGATATTCGACTTTTAGTACTAATGGATCTTTATGCATGGGGATGGGGTTTGCAGGGTTTTCTTTCCTCATGATTTGGATTCGGTGGCTGATGCGCTTCTGGCCAGCGGTCACAAATCAGTGTGATGAACCACTTGTTTGAGAGTTCTCTGCTAATTTGTAGATTTCTACTTCATTCCTATCATCATTTATGGTACATTCTGAATGTACATATTTATTTACTGTCATGTGTTACTGATTTTGCTACTTTATTTTTTTGATGACCCGAAGTGTTTTTTTTTTATTTAGAATTTTGGAGGAAGCTTTAAAGCGTAAGTCCACCAAGAAATGTCTTCCACAAAATTGGTGTCTTAATATTACTCCCTCCGTCCCAAAATTAACTTCCCGTTCGGTTTACGATGCTTGACTGACGATAAAGCAACTCGATCCCTGCTCACACTCGGATTATTTTTAGTAAATAAAATTTACATATTCAGAAACTACATTAAAACCGCTACAAAGCCTGATCAATAAAATTTAAATTTGATAAAAATTTGATATAAAAAGTAAAAGATTACGAGTGCTTCAAGTTGACCAATGAATAGTGAATGGGAAGTTGTTTTTGGAACGGAGGGAGTATCAGATTTCTATTCCAGTTGCAATCCAGCTCTTCTTCCTGGTTTTTATGATCGTGAATCCAACAATGGTGAGCCATTGCGCATTAATAGTGTTGCATTAGACATTAAATGTTGTCACAGCACTAGACAGTGATGAAGCTCAATATAAATTATCATGTAGTGAAGACATTGTCCATATTCTTGATTGGTTCTCTGACCTAGAGAGTCAGAGGCAAAAAATGCACGACGATAGAGTTTATTAATTCTTCTCCATCAAAATAATTGATGTCGTTGGCATTGACAGTTAGTCTGTTAGTGGTGCTGATGGATATTTGCTGACGCCAATGGGCAGTGAACTCATGGACATTGGTACTGCCATATTGGTCCTATTGGTCCTGGGGGGGGGGGGGGGGGGGCATAGAACTAGGGGTGCAAACGACTCAATCCCAGCCCGGACTTATATATGATGGAACTCGAGCTCAAAATTATTTTACATGCTTTAGCTCGGCTCGAGTTCAATCAAGCTCTAAATATTATAACTCGAGTTTGACCAGTATACTAGCGGAGTATGTACCACGTGCGAATGATGCCCAATATTTACAAATTTTCTCACTGAAATGTTGTGTGCTAATCTTCATTGAAATTTTATTTAACCGTGATCATCTACATTGTCTAATTTGGGCAGTAAGTTTTAGAAATAGTTTGTAAATTTTTATTCATTTTGTAAGTACAAATAGTTAAGGGTATCATAACAAAACAGTAAGTTCGTCACAATAATTGTTTTTTTTATTGATATTGCATTTATATGTTGGTGGACCTCTTGGAAAGAGAGGTGGTTCAACAAGGGGTTATGGTAAAAGTTTAGCATAACCCTAGCAAAATTCTGTTTTTCCCTTACTCTATTCCATGTGAATAAATTGGAATACAATAATAATATCCTACATAAATAAAAGGACTCTTTGAATTTAACCACGGTACCTCCGACGGAAAATATCACATTTAGATCCCAATTGACGGATTAATGTTCCTGGTTCAAAGAGATGGAAAATATGACATGTATTTCTAAACTTCACCAAGGCAGCAAGAGCAGAGTGAATGATTTATCATAAGTCACTGTGAAGAATCCGAAGTAAACAAGTGGGTTAGATTTATTTTCATTCTAACAATCTAACACCTACACCATACAAATATAAATTGATATGATTCACATCAATTAATAGCTCTTAAAAATACACTCCGCAAGAGAAAACACATTGCTTGTCGGTTGTCACCAACTTTTTAAATAAGCACATAAAATAAATTGAGAGTATGGAAATAACACAACTGTTAGTTTATTTAATTCTCTGTCATAAGAAATAAATAAAAGCATTAGACCGAAAAGTTGTGTTTTGGAGGTTTTTTAATTTCTAATAATTTCATACTCCGTATCTGTTTGTAAGAGTATGAGTAACTTGTACCATGGTGTAGAAAATGCAGACAGCTTACATCGTTGGTTGTTTAAGGGCATGTTTGGTAATGGCTGCAATGGCTGAAATTGCTGAAACTATTGAAGTTAAAGTGTTTGGTTATATTTTGACTGAAGTGGCTGATTGAATGTATATCTACCAAAAAGGGCATTTTCCTCTTTGTATTGAAAATATATGTAAATTAAATTTGCTAGTAAAATCATTTTACTGAAATGAGTAAATTTATATTAAAAATTATGCTTTTATAAGGATGATGGAGCATGCATGTAGTGCCTAATTAACAAAATGTTTTGTTAATTGTAAAAAAGGGTACGGCCGCAGGCAATTATTAGCTGCTTTGGTTATTTAAATTAAACGTCGTATAAAATTGATATGAATCGTGTTATCGAAGATGGTCCTTGGTTGTTTGAAAGAAATTTGGTACTGCTAAAGGCGGTTGGCCCTAATGATATACCACATAAAATGGACTTATTTGAAGCAGAGTTCTGGGTGCAAGTGCACAACGTGCCTTATAAGTTTATGAATGTTGATACTGCTAGGAGGGTGGGTAACTATATTGGGGAATTTATTAGCTTTGATGAGAGCCACTTTAAGGACAAGTGGAGCTCTTATTTGAGGGTTAGGGTAAAGATGGATGTGATAAGGTCCCTAAAAAAGGGTTCTACTTTGACAAAGGGAGGGGAAGGACACTGGGTAGATTTTAAATATGAAAAGCTTCCAAGTTTCTGTTTCATTTGTGGGATTATGGGGCACTCTGAGAAATTTTGTCCATTAAAATATGTGGAGGATCTCGTTTTGGAGACAAACTTTAGTGCTGATCTGAGAGCAGGGGGTGGGGGAAAGATTAGCCCCACAAGGGGTGGTAAGTGGTTGATGGATAAACAGGGAGGCCCGAGTCATCACAGGGGGATTCAACAAGACGATGAAGGAACTATGAGACAGGGTAGCAATGGGAGTATAGCTGAGACAGAAAGCAGTGGCACAAAGGAAGAGAATAGAAGTGGTGCAGGGGAGGTCTCGGTGGATCAGAAGCGCAGGAGAATCTGGAAGGATCCAGCAGAGCAAAACAACTTAGAAGAGGAGATGGCATTGGACAACATAAAAAACGGAGAGGAGGCGGGCCTCAGCTCTTAGGCCCGCCTGATGTGGTCGTGAAGATGTGGATGCAGCAGTTCCACGGTGGTGCTTATTTTATTATTGCTTTTTTTTTTGTTTCGTTTGGCATTCAAACTGTTGTTTTTGCTATTTGTTTTGTTTTCTTTTGTAAGACTCTTGCATTAGGCTCGGGTGATGAGTGTGCTGCAGTAACCATTGTTGGCTCAATTATGCCCATTTTAGGATCAACGAGTTATACTGCTTCCTTGAAGGTGGTTAACTCAGAGTCTGGCCCAAGGGCGGATGGTTATCGGTGGTACTCTTGTTATTTTAGATCCTTGCTGAATGCTTTTATCCTAATATAAGCCCCCTTCATCCAAAAAAAAAAAAAATTAAACGTCGTATACTCGTATATAGCAAGTGATCAACAATAAAAAAATAGCAAGTCATCCAATTCTAGAAAAAAACGTCGGCCAGGGGAAGTTTGTGCAGCTAGGAATAAGACAACTAACAGATGAGTTTAAGAGTTAGAGAAGGATAAATATGTCTTTTAATATGTTAATGGTATAATAATAGAAATCAGCCCAAGAAGTAGGAGTTGGGTTACTTTTTCTGCTTATAATAAAAATCAGCCAAATCAACCCACTTAAGGGGTGTTTGGTGATTTTTTTGTATATTCAGGCTTATAAGCCAACTTGTGATCCTCTAAAAGGCCACTAAAGGAGTGTTTGGGGTTGCTTAAAAAAAGCACTTTTCAGCTTTTGGCTTAAAAAAAAGTTGAAAAGAGTGTTTTCAAATGACAGCTTCTGCTTAAATTAATCACTTAAAAGCTAAAAGCTGGAAGCAGGTAGAAGGGTGCTTTAAACTGCTTATCACTTTTACTATTACACAAAAAGTACTTATTTTACCAAACACTACCAACTTTTACTTTTTCAGAATCACTTTTTTCTCAAACACTACCAACTTTTACTATTAATCACTTTTCCCAAAATCACTTTAAAAAATCACATTTTTAAAGTTGAAGCAATTGCAAACACTCCCTAAATAGTCTTACGTCTAAAGGTTATACGGAGTATTTAGGACCTTGCTTATTTAATGTAACATACTCTCTCCGTTCCAAAATGGTTGGTCAAATTTTCTTTTTTTAGCCGTCTAAAAAAGGTTTGTCATTTTCATTTAAAGTAAGAAATATGTGGCTAAAGTTAATTCTCTTTCTTCTGCGCAAATTTCAACCACACAATTTTTATTTTATAATTCACGTGCAAGTCAACATTGACCAACCATTTCGGGACGGAGGGAGTATATGCTAAGTAGTAACTATGTATCAAACTTGAAACTTATAAGTCTTACAATACATAAACCTATTCATTAATAACCTTGGTAGAGGTCGTTGCTTGCTCGCAAGTCCAGAAAGAGTGCTTCCTTGCGTTGTGATTCATTGCTTTCCTCCACAACGTACTTCCTCTTAGCTTCTCAAGAATTTACCATTACTTTATCGTGAACATCATTGTTAAGAGCATCACTTTTTATAGGATTAGCCGTGAATGCGAGCAAAGAAAGACAAAGCACAAAGAAATTCGTTTTTGCCTTTGTGTGAACTTGGCCGCAGTTGTTTGAGTGCAATTGTGAAATTGAGGGCTTTCACTTTATCATTCAATGGGAGCGTTATTAATTTATAGCATACACAACAACTTGTACACTCAATTGGTGAATAGAGTTGTTTTCAGAAATTTCAAAAATGTGTTATTGTAATATTAAATGTTTGGGTGTAATTAGAATTTGTAAAATAGAAAAAAGTAAATTTTTGAGTAGTTAAGAAATGATTTTTTGGACTTTAGTGATAAACAATTTGGACTTTATTTTAACACACTCATTTCATGGACTGAGTGATAAGAAATACATAATTTTTTGGACTGAGTGATAAGAAATACATCATATTTGGACAGAGTGATTTTTTGGACCGAGTGATAAGCAATTTGGACTTTATTTTAACACAATCTTTTCTTGGACTAAGTGATAAGAAATACATGATTTTTTTGGATTGAGTGATAAGAAATACATCATGTTTTGGACTGAGTGGTAAACAAATTTTCAACACATCAATTTGGACTTTGTTTTATGAGCAAAGAAATGATTTTTTTTTGAAAACTTTCAATCCAGTAAATGAAACATAATATGT